TATATATATATATATATGTATATACATATACGTTTCCCCACAGCCATCATTCAAAATGGTGTCCATACGTCTTTTCGGATTCGGCGTCCAATCAGTCTCAAATACTATTCCACCCTTTTGGCGGCCAAACGATGAGTCGTGCAGCCAATGCCGTCATCGGCTTTCCATGTTCTCTGAACTCCAAAAAAAAAAGAGCCAATGGAGTATTAGTCAAGAGGCGACTAACACAACGAAGATAACCTGTATCCATACACACACACACATAAATTTTGCTTACTTTGTTCCACGGTTCATCCCTCAGGAGTATATTATGAGTGAAAGAGAGCTACAATAAGAATTGGTATTCGAAACTAATGCGTGACATATTGCTACTAGCAGTAAAGATATCCGATCGTTGTTAAACTAAGCATTTCAAATCAATCTTGAAACTTGGAGTATATATAATTCCATAAAAATAAAAAAATCTAGTAAGAAAGCTCTAGTCGAGACTGCTCGACTACGAAATCCCCTGAACCCTTCGAGCAACTGATATTTCAATAATTATTCGCATTTGCACACATACACGCACGCACACAGGCTTACGTACGCACGCATAAACACGCATTGGCTGCAGTGTGGTTACTATGGGAACTGAATTGCTTAATAACTTTTCTTGTGAATATACTATCTTCATGAAACATTCAGACTATGAATGTAATATAGATATGCATGTATTTGTCAAAGCACAAGTCCCTAGTATTTGAAATACGCCTTTTACAAATGTGAGGGTGAGGGTGTGAATTAGAGGTGGGGGTAAATTTTGACACAAACCAAAATTGTATAAAATCCATATAAGTATACATATAAAATTTGGACACTAGCTTTAAAGATGTAAATTTATTACTGGTTTTCGATAATGTTTTTAATCGATAACAAAATAACGGAGCAATTTATCGATATTTAAAGCAAAACTCGATATGCGCGTGCTCTACTCGGACATAGGAAAAAAATTTCAATTCTCTAGCTCTTATATCTTCTGAGAACCATGCGTTCAAATATACGGACAGACAGACGGACGGGCAGAGCTAAATCGACTCAGCTCGTCGCCCTGATCAAGAATATATATACTTTATAGGGTCTGCCACGCCTCCTTCTGCCTGTTACATGCATTTAACAAAATGGGTTCAGAGTATCAAAAAAACAAATAACAGAGTTTGAAATGTAAAAAATTGTCACATAAATCCTCGCTAGAGACTTGAAAACCCTAAAACCTTCTTTCCCATTGCGTCCATGAGCATGTGTGCCTGTGTGGGTGCTCGTAAGGTGTTTCTTTTGTAAGCAGAAAATGAGAGAGGAATTAATATACTCATTCACGAAAGTGAAATAAGTATATTAGTTTTGCGCATGTCCGTCTTGCTGTTCGTCCGTCTTCCTGTATGCAAGCTAGAGCCTTGAAATTTGGAACACATACTCATGCATACTCTCAATTCATATAGTGTTAAAAATTCCCCGTGGCAAATCAGAAAATGAATTTTCCGATATGCCAGAAATCATATTAGGAGATCAGCTAGCTTAAAATTTGGAATGTAGATCCGTGTCGATCACCCAAGATCAAAAGCTATGGCGGATATATCTACGCCTGGTCCATTAGACCTGGAGACTTCAGATTCACTGTGTATATACAGTAGAATCCGGTTATAGCGACACTCAAGGGACCGTCGATTTTACGTCGCTATACCCGGAGGACGCTTTAACCAGAAAGACTAAAAAATATTTTTTTTTTCATTTTTTTTTACGGTTGCCATGTTCGTAATAACTCTTACTATACAACAATTTAAATTTTTAATCAAAACAACCATTTTTTATCAACTTATTTCAAGAACATGGTTTAGAAACATTTTTGTGACGTCGGCATTGTACTTTGTCKCTCTCCCTCTCTCTGTCTTAGCAGCATTTGTGGCGTTGCTACGCAAACAAGCAAGGGTACTGATCACTGATCAATATATACATTTCTAACAGTCTTTTTATGCTGAAATTTTTTTGTCATTATTTCGGGATTTTATGTTTATCACGTCGTAATAACCGGTGATTGACTCTAAAATATGAAAAAAATCGTCGGCATAAGCGGATTGTCGTTAAAAGCGGAGACGTGCTAAGCGGAGGCTCTTTCATATAAGTTTGTATGGGGACCAACCAAGAAATCGAATTTTCGTCGATATAACCGGCTGGACGCTTTAACCGGAGTCGTTATAAACGGATTCTACTGTATAATGGGTACGAAGATTTTGTAATTTACAGTTTTGGGATACTACGCCCCAAATTTCTAAAAACACGTATTCAAGTACTACTACCTTGAAACATTATAATTATGTTCTAAAAGTTTCATTAAAATAGTCCGTCTACAAAAGAAATTATTCAACAGTTCTCATAATAAGTTCTCATAATATTGCCCACAATGTAGTGCAGCCCAAGCGCATACGTTGCTAACTGCGCAGTTAATCGAGCGCATGGTTATGCGTGGACGATTGTATGTATGTATGTGTGAACGTGTTTTTGTTCAGGGTTCATCTCCTAGTTCAGCTAGCACAATGGTATTTGAGTGAGTATTCAGGGCGGGGAATTTAATATTTGTAACTTTAATGTAAATATTTTAGTAAAAATATTCTACACTACATAGGTAAATGAGTTTTTTATTTAATTAAATTAACTATGTGCTTTTTTATTTATACCCTGAGCTCATTGAAAATGACAGGCAGAGGAGGCGTTGCAGTCCCCACAAAGTATATACATATGTATGTATATTCTTGATCAGGGCGAAGAGCTGAGTCAATTTGGCCTTGTCCGTGCGTCTGTCCGTATGTATGAACGCGTCGATCTCAGAAGATATAAGAGCTAGAGAGAAATTTATTTTATATGTCCGTATATACAGCGCGGATATCGAGTTCATCACTAAAAATCGATAGCTCATCCCGTTATTTTTTTATCGATAAAAAAGCTCATCGAAAATCAGTTATAAAATTAGACTCCTACATCTTTAAAGCTAGAGTCTCCAGATTTTAAATATATACAGTAGAATCCGGTTATAACGACTCCGCTTAAAGCGTCCAACCGGCTATGTCATGAACATTCGATGTCTTAGTTGGTCCCCATACAAACTTATATGAAAGAGCCTCCGCTTAGTACGTCTCCGCTTATGCCAACGATTTTTTTTTTCATATTTTAGAGTCAATCATCGGTTATTACGACGTGATAACAAAAAACCCCGAAATAATGACAACAAATTTCAGCATAAAAAGACTCTGTTAGAAATGTAACATGTATGTATTGATCAGTGATCAGTACCCTTGCTTGTTTGCGTAGCAACGCCACAAATGCTGCTAAGACAGAAAATTTTAAATTTTTGTATAGTAAAAGCTCTTACGAACATGGCAGCCGTAAAAAAAAATGAAAAATATATTTTTTACTCTTTCTGGTTAAAGCGTCCTCCGGGTATAGCGACGTAAAATCGACAGTCCCTTGAGTGTCGCTATAACCGGATTCTACTGTATTTAGATGCATTTTATACAATTTCGATTTTTTTAAATATACCCCATACCCCTATATCCACCACTAACCTGTAAGTTTGTGAAAGGCGTATTTAATGTACTAGAGACTTGTGCTTTGGCAAATGCATGCTTATCTATGTNGTGGCGCTGGCAAAACTCAAATAGATTCACTGCTGCTGCGCCATCTACCAAAACTAAACGAAACTAACAGCTGATGTGATTCAACGAATGTTTTTGTTGTAGCTGCTGCACGTGCGTTTGTTAATTGGCCAAATATTTGATTATTTTTTATTAATTTTTGACTGAACGGAATTTAATGAAACTTTCAGCATATGATCTACATATTATATTGAATATTTGAGAAATTTAAAAAAATGAAAAATCCTCCACAATTAGCTATAGTGGCATCTGACTTGAACTTGAATGTTTTTAGACGATAAAAACATAATGGGATGATTTATCGAATTTTAAAAGCAAACTCGACGTCCGCACTGTATATACGGTCATTTAAAAAAAAATTGAAGTCTCTAGCTTTTATATCTTCGGAAATCGACGCGTTCAAACATACGGACAGACGGACGGACGGACGGACAGACGGACAGATGGACAGACAAACAGACGGACAGGGCCAAATAAACTCAGCTCGTCGCCCTGATCAAGAATATATGTATATACTTTGTGGGGTCTGCCACGCCTCCTTCTGCCTTGTACATACATTTCAACAAAACCATTATACCCTGATTTCCCATTTTCAATGGGTTCAGGGTATAAAAAGAAAAATTAAGGTATTAAAAGAAGTTCCAAGGTACGTACGTGTGGTTGCATATGTATGTATGTGTACATAAAAGAAGTGCAGTTTGATTAGAATATCAGCTTGGAGGGGTCAGGGTATCTCCTAGTCGAGCAGTCTCGACTAGAGCCTTCTTACTTGTTTCGATATAAATCGATTCATATACTTCGCTTTTGAAGTGCGGCTTGTATGCCGTGGGTACTGAAGTTTGATATGGATACTAGCGTAGCCGCTGCGTAAACTGCACAGTTAACAGAGAGTGTGTTTATGTGTTATAGTATGTATCTATGTATTTGTTTTATAGAGCAGTCTAACCCAAAGGACTCTTACTAGTTTTGAATCACATTTTAAACATTACTAGTGAATCTACATTCAGAGTAGACAGTTTCTGGAGTGAATCTAATATTCCAAAATTAAATACACAACTTTTACTATGGACATTTTTTAACAGATTGACAAGGAAATATGATTAGCTCGAAAACAAATCTTAAAGGAAACGATGCGCAGATCTCTGGATACTTGCGTATCGCAAAAGCTCCAGATATTGATGATTCTGACGAGGAGCGCGAGCTAACAAATTTAAATTGGTTATTACGTAATCAAAATCTGACGTGGTCGAAGACAATTGATGCCAGCTCCGAGGATGATATTAATATTCAAGCTGGCAATCGGAATCTGACCACTGAGATTGAAACATTTAATTCCCACAAGATATTAAAACCGTTAGAACAATGTTCTTCGAAAAATTCAGCAAATAAATCTCTTATCCGAAACCTTATCAGCTGCCCCGACTCCAGAAAACAAAACTCATCATCAGTATTGTTAAAGCGTCCAACACCAGCGGAGAGATACGATATTTTTATTAACAAAATTAAAAGGTAATGATCCAGTTATACATAGACATTTACGAACACATATGAATAAAATAACATTACAGCGATTTGGCAGAGTATGAAAAATCTGCTAATATATATAGGACAGATGTAACTCACAAGCCACCATTTAACTACTCCCATATTATTGGGATGGCGATGCTCGAAAACGGACGGGTTACACTTCAGCAAATTTGTGCATGGATTGAGTCAAAATTCGCATTTTTCCGAGTGCGTAAAAAATGGAATGTGAGTACAAAATTAACGTAAACCAAACCTACATATTTAAAATGACACCTCACTTTTATCCCCATTAACGAAGTAGTATAATTTTTTCTAATGTATATTATGTAGGGTAGTATCTGCTCACCATCTGTCCGTCCATGTCCTTGTGACTATTTCGCTAGAAATAAAGCTAATGAAAACTGCGACACTACCAAATGCAAGACAACTCATGAGTCGTAACGAAATACCTTATCTGGTATATTAAAAACGCTATTATTAAATTCTCGATTACTGATATACTTTATAAATTAGTTAATTAACTATTGTATTAAAAATTATATATATTCCTAAGACTGTCGCTACCTACTGCAAACTTTTGCTTACAATAAACCCTGCTTCGTAAATAACAAAAATGTATAATTATATTATTATAAGGAGAGATTTCGAATAATTCCCAGACTACGTTTATTGCACATTTAAATATGTACATACGTCTGACTGAAATTTATATACAGTTGATAACATATTGAATGTCTAATTTTTTTTTATTTTTTTTTTTTTTTAGAATTCGATTAGGCATAATCTGTCGTTGCATCATTGCTTTCGCAATCGTAAACGTGAGGAAAAGGGCAAAGGAGGATATTGGGAACTAGGAGTGGATCTAAGAAAATGTGATAGAAAACGGATAAGAAATCGCAAATCAACCAACTCAAAGTCAAACCATTCATCGCCAGAGACTAAAAACTGTCAAACTCTTTTAACAAAATGCCAGTTGGCCAATTCGAAAAATGCCGGAAGACCTCAGGATCGGTCTCCAAGCCTGTCATCACATTATATGCTGAATGAGAGGCCACAACCATCTAGTCCTAAAAATAATAGTGCTGAACACGATGTACAATTGGATTGCCTGACCGTAACTGAAGTAGAGGTGGGCCTAGGTGATGGGTTAACATTATCAAACGGCTCACACGATCGTGACGCCACTTTTCTATACCCAGATTCCTCGTTCACACCTTCTTCAAACAATGAAGCTTTTCTACCGCATCAATATGAGCTAGGTACCATTATAATTAGCACCACAGGCACTATCGATGACCCTTCGTGCATCAATAGTATAATCAATAATAAGTTGGACTGTTCTAGTATGGTGAGATTAAAATTTAACTATATTATTAATAATAGTCTTTCTATATTTTATTATAACTWTTATCTTTATTTAGATCTATACCGAGGATGACATTCCAACAGCTAGTGAAAATATTATCATATCGTCAAATAAAATGGATTCCAATAAGGAAAGTAATATAGCATTGGTAGCACCTATCACCTCCAATTCTGAGATCACGAGCAATGTTCCCATTAATTATGACTGCTCCAATTTTCGACCATACATTGACTGCATTGACGAGTCATATAATTACCTACATAGCAATGAGTTAAATCGCAATGAGGATATTTTAGATAACCTTCTGGACGACTGTGCTAGAGATTATTGAATGACAAATATCGCCAAATAAAAATGTAAACTTCTTCTAATACACCAATCAGTTGACTTAATTTTCTTACATTATCTATTAATACCTCAGAATATATTATTAATACAATCAGGTACCCTGACAATAGTATTGTCCAAAAGTACATATGTATATTCTTGATCAGGGCAATGAACAGAGTCGATTTAGGCCTGTCCGTCTATCCGTATTTTTGAACGCGTCCATCTCAAGCTTGATATTTTGCTTCGTAACCTTAAACCTTATATACAATAAGTTTTGAAAAAATTTTCAAAAAATATTTAAAATATTAGAAATGGGAAAAAGATTGGGATGATTTATCACAAAAATATGATTATTGAATACACGTGTACTTTCACATGCACAGCGCTATATCGACTCAGCTCGTCACGTTGTTCAAGAATATATATACTTTATATGATCTGCGATGATTCCTTTTGCCCGTTACATACTTTTTTACAAAACTATTATACCCTGATTTCCCATTTTCAATGTTTCAGCGTATACAAATATTTTGTCTCGTCAAATAGTAAAACCATGTAGTGTTATTTCAAATTATCGGGATTCGACTGTATATTTATACATAATCCATAGAAATACTGAAGACAAGGAAAATGGCTTACAATTGATCTATGAGCATGCGCATTCGGAAACTTGCATGTTGCTCCATGTTGATATCTTAAGCTTATCACTATGGTTCTCATCCACGTGCAATATTTCCAGCTCCGTGAGTTTCGATGGGGCACAGCATGGTCGAGGTACACGGGTATGGTCCTGTTGCCATATTAAGCTCTGGAGTAGGGCGTGGTGATGGGCGGGATTGTGCCTAGGGGGGCAACGCCCAAGGCAATAGCCGGCGTCGAAAACCTTTGGCTGTATGATGAACTCGAATCCTTTGATGTCCTTAAAAGCCACATTCAATTGATGACGGCAGCAACGTTGGTGCGGTTTATAGCAACTATTAGGCCATAATTTTGCCTTATTAGAATTACGATGATCGGAGTAGTTATTGTGATTAAACGATTGTATTCCTTTTTCACGATGGGTGCGACCGATGTGTCCAATAATATTCAAAACAGGCGATAGATGATATCGATCATCATCATCGCCATCATTCTGATCCCTATTATGTGGGCTGTACACATCGCTGAGTATACGCGCCCCAATGCGTCGACATTTATCACATTGTATCTCTATGCCAAGATTCTCGCAGCTCTTGTTTAACCATCCACGCACCGCCTCGGTGACATCGAATTCTAACCACTGGCTGTGGGTTTCGTCCACATCCATCGCGTTCTCAAACTCTATTTTACGGGAATCTAACTGCTTGCGTTTGTGCATTGGCAGCAATTGATAAACGCTCAATTTTAATGTGTAACTACGGGTTTTGGGACTACGATTTTGTTGGTGATTTGCGGAAATCGTGCTATCTGTATTGCACTTTGCTTTGTGATTCATTGAATTGTTATATTTTATTTTAGCTTCTTGTTCTATTCTTGTTCTATAGTGACGCGATTGTGCTGCCAATGCTGGATTGTACAGCATCATTAGCCTCAAATTTGCCTCATCTAGTTTCTTGTAGTGATATTCATCAGCATCGTTAATGGATAATGGAAAATGTAAGAGAATATTTGTCTTATCGCTAAACGATTCCATCCTCGACTCTAGATTCGCTCTTTTCATTCCCCTTGGAGCCCGACGTTGACGGCGGAATCGTTCGTACGTTATATCGCTAAAACTATTTGTCGCTATAGTTAAAATACGAAGTGTTGAGGATGGATCGCCTGAAGAATAAACGTTGCCGTCCTTACTGTCACCAATTCCCTGATTTTTTGTCACACGTTCTAAATACTGAAGGTATTTACTTGAGTATTCTAATTGACTAATGTTTGCCTGTAATGTACAAAAAAATATTTTAAAAATCATTGCAAGAAGAGAAGAGAAGAGAAGAGAAAGGAAGAGAAGAGAAGAGAAGAGAAGAGAAGAGAAGAGAAGAGAAGAGAAGAGAAGAGAAGAGAAGAGAAGAGAAGAGAAGAGAAGAGAAGAGAAGAGGAGAGAAGAGAAGAGAAGAGAAGAGAAGAGAAGAGAAGAGAAGAGAGGAGAAGAGAAGAGAAGAGAAGAGAAGAGAAGAGAAGAGAAGAGAAANACATGCACAGCGCTATATCGACTCAGCTCGTCACGTTGTTCAAGAATATATATACTTTATATGATCTGCGATGATTCCTTTTGCCCGTTACATACTTTTTTACAAAACTATTATACCCTGATTTCCCATTTTCAATGTTTCAGCGTATACAAATATTTTGTCTCGTCAAATAGTAAAACCATGTAGTGTTATTTCAAATTATCGGGATTCGACTGTATATTTATACATAATCCATAGAAATACTGAAGACAAGGAAAATGGCTTACAATTGATCTATGAGCATGCGCATTCGGAAACTTGCATGTTGCTCCATGTTGATATCTTAAGCTTATCACTATGGTTCTCATCCACGTGCAATATTTCCAGCTCCGTGAGTTTCGATGGGGCACAGCATGGTCGAGGTACACGGGTATGGTCCTGTTGCCATATTAAGCTCTGGAGTAGGGCGTGGTGATGGGCGGGATTGTGCCTAGGGGGGCAACGCCCAAGGCAATAGCCGGCGTCGAAAACCTTTGGCTGTATGATGAACTCGAATCCTTTGATGTCCTTAAAAGCCACATTCAATTGATGACGGCAGCAACGTTGGTGCGGTTTATAGCAACTATTAGGCCATAATTTTGCCTTATTAGAATTACGATGATCGGAGTAGTTATTGTGATTAAACGATTGTATTCCTTTTTCACGATGGGTGCGACCGATGTGTCCAATAATATTCAAAACAGGCGATAGATGATATCGATCATCATCATCGCCATCATTCTGATCCCTATTATGTGGGCTGTACACATCGCTGAGTATACGCGCCCCAATGCGTCGACATTTATCACATTGTATCTCTATGCCAAGATTCTCGCAGCTCTTGTTTAACCATCCACGCACCGCCTCGGTGACATCGAATTCTAACCACTGGCTGTGGGTTTCGTCCACATCCATCGCGTTCTCAAACTCTATTTTACGGGAATCTAACTGCTTGCGTTTGTGCATTGGCAGCAATTGATAAACGCTCAATTTTAATGTGTAACTACGGGTTTTGGGACTACGATTTTGTTGGTGATTTGCGGAAATCGTGCTATCTGTATTGCACTTTGCTTTGTGATTCATTGAATTGTTATATTTTATTTTAGCTTCTTGTTCTATTCTTGTTCTATAGTGACGCGATTGTGCTGCCAATGCTGGATTGTACAGCATCATTAGCCTCAAATTTGCCTCATCTAGTTTCTTGTAGTGATATTCATCAGCATCGTTAATGGATAATGGAAAATGTAAGAGAATATTTGTCTTATCGCTAAACGATTCCATCCTCGACTCTAGATTCGCTCTTTTCATTCCCCTTGGAGCCCGACGTTGACGGCGGAATCGTTCGTACGTTATATCGCTAAAACTATTTGTCGCTATAGTTAAAATACGAAGTGTTGAGGATGGATCGCCTGAAGAATAAACGTTGCCGTCCTTACTGTCACCAATTCCCTGATTTTTTGTCACACGTTCTAAATACTGAAGGTATTTACTTGAGTATTCTAATTGACTAATGTTTGCCTGTAATGTACAAAAAAATATTTTAAAAATCATTGCAAGAAGAGAAGAGAAGAGAAGAGAAAGGAAGAGAAGAGAAGAGAAGAGAAGAGAAGAGAAGAGAAGAGAAGAAAAGAGAAGAGAAGAGAAGAGAAGAGAAGAGAAGAGAAGAGAAGAGAAGAGAAGAGAAGAGAAGAGAAGAGAAGAGAAGAGAAGAGAAGAGAAGAGAAGATTTTTTACCTTTCTCATATCGGGCAACTTCTTTAATCCGAGGCCGTTCATTACTAATTCCGTTAGCTTCTGTTTATTTATAATCCTATTATGTGTATCGTCTACTCCTGTTACTTCATGTTTGCTTTTTTTTTTCCGTGGATGCAAGATTTGTGATCTTTTGGTGCGTTTGCTTTTAGAACCGGAACTTAGCTTTTGGTCGTGTAATATGGTTTGTGTTTTGTTTTCTTTACTACCAACTTGACTTAGAATTATCAGACTATGTTCATTTACACTTTGATTACATCGATATGTACGTTTTATTATGGTATGGCTAGGGTTATGACTATGGCTATTATTTTGATTATCGTTATCAATGTAATTATATTTATTATTTGTATAGTTCCTAAGCCTTAGTTTGAAATTCCATTTTTTTTGGCATAAGTTATTTTCTTTTGACCATTGTGTGGAGCTGAGCCACAACTTCTTCGGGCTTGATGCTATAGTTGGGATCGCCTTAACATCCTTTCCACTGGCTTCATGTATCAATGAAGAGCAGAATGGCAACAACAAAATAAGCACGAAACATAACTGCGTTAATTTCGGAATAATGGAGAAGATCCGGCGGTATATGGATCCATTCGACTCCTTTCGAAACCGGTCAACATCATTGTAATAGCAATGATAAATATTGTAAAAGTGTAATGCACTATAGATGTATTTTACATAAGAAGTGTTTGGTGTCAAACTGCATCGTAAGTTTTTTTCGTTGGCAATGTATTTGAAAAATCTGCTTTCTGGTCTGTTGTTCCTTTTTGTTGCAATTTGAAAATCAATCCAGTTGAAAATACTTTGGAATGTACCTACAAAGTATTCAGATTCGATACGAATTTTCATTTTTATACCACATGGCCTTTATAGATCACGGGATAACACAGAAATTATGTGGCTTATCAAAGGGTGTTATTCCTCGATTTCAATCTGTCAGTTTTTCGATTTCTCAATCCTATAGGGGATTTTCTCACACAATATTTGCATACTCATTTTCAGTCCAGCAAACTATCCATCTACTACACACATACATATGTATGTGTGTGTGATGAGATTGAATTGAATCAGCACAATATATTTCTTAGTTTTTAGTTATAAATTATAGAGTAAAGATCACAGTAAATTTCGGAGTCTATTATATTTATATTATGATTATTTGGAGTTCGCGATCAGCAATCGAGTCGTATCCATTGATGTACAGCAAGCAGAGACGAAAACCTGTTCGTTTAGCACTTCATATGCGACTAAAATCCCACAAAGTAAATGCTTACTCAACAGCCACCAGAATATAAACAATCTCTTGCCTATACCCACATACACACACGCACTCCCACTTAGCCAATATATGAACAGTGCGCGTCATATGATTAGAAGCACTGTTAGTACTTTACCATTTTTTGTATTACTAAATTTATTCGACTTTTGTATATATATTCTTGATTAATGAAAATAATAAATAAAAATAATAAGAATTAAAAACATTTCACATTTTCCATATCATTTTCAATATAGACATCCCAATATGAATGTTGCGATAATATTGCCTCCACACACCAACTAATAAATACATATGTATGTATGTATATGCATACATACATATGTATATTTATACATATCTGTGCGTGTGCTAGTATTTATTTTCTTACTCGTGCACGACATTAATCAAAGTTTGTATGTATTTTCATGTATGTATGCATGTATGAATCAAATTACATACAATGAAATGAATAAGTACTCGTAGGAATTTATGGCCTTTAGCTAATTCTTATTCATAATTCTATGATTTTGGAATTCTATTTTACTACGTGAGCTAATCGTGATCTACCAATGTAATGGTAGAGGACGATCAACCCCATAAAATATGAATAAATAAAAGGCAGAGAAAGAAATGCACGCCCCCATTTCTGAAAGAATATGTACAAACATATGTACATACATATGTATGTACGTAGATGTTTGTCAATACATAGATAAGAATATACATATGTATGTACGCATGCGCTCACATATTTATACATATTTATTTTTTTGTTACTAGTTCAAGCGCTTTGTGATAAATGAAAGCAGCTGCAGTACTCCATTGATAAAAAGCGGCTCATTTGTTCAAGTAGAGAGGARCGTAAACATTCTTTGTGAGAGATAATTAGTTGCACATGAACTTACATATTTATGTACATATGTATATACATACATACACATACAAAGACTCTGACTATGTAAATACACATAGACGTGTATGTACATACATACATATATATATGTATGTGTGTTTTGTGTCTATTTGTAAGATGACTCACAGCTTCTACTAAGAAGTATGAGCATCTTAAAGTAAACAAACAATTTTACCAACAAAATAATGGGAAAAGAAGATTCTTTTATTTATTTATAATTTAAAAGTTAAAGATAAAGAAAAATTACAACGGATTATCCAGCACTGAATTGCCTGTACACATATGTAAAATATATTCATGTATGTATACAAAAATTGTTATGATTCCTGCAAGGAACTTAACAGTTAGTGCTAAGAGCTAGAGATTTGAATAAATTGATCAGATATACATACATAAATAATAATGATTTCTTCTCTAATAGCAACAGCATAATGAAATGCACCGAAACAGCTGTGATTGAAAATGTATGTACATACATACATACATACAACATATGTAACAGAAAGGCAGGCTGCATAATGTACAGTCGAATAGGGTGACCACATGGGCCTGAGGCCATTCCGGGACGGTCGACGAGCCATTCAATAATCCGGTATTCATCTAGTGAAGGGTTCTGAATTCAAAAACTATTTTAAAATCGATCGAAAACTTAAAGACAAAAAACTTTTTTGAGTTGCATTTTGCCAAAATGGCGATTGTTTTATTGACATAACCTCCAAAAGCAGTACTTGTCCCGAAGTTCCTGGACGGATGGCAGCCCTACTCTATAGACATATACATATGTACGTAAGTTTGCTAATATTTGTCTGGGGACCAGAATTTTTGTCGCAATAACTGTACGGACACTATAAGCGGTGTCGTTAAAACGAGATTCTACTGTACGTCATGACATAATCAATCCACTTGAAGACGCCAGGATACGACCGCTTAAAAACCATTTCAAATGCAATTACTACTCCATTTCTCATAAAAAGACTTCATCAATCTATCCAATAATCATTATATGATAAGATTTCAAACTAGAAAACAATAGATTCTATACAGGATACATCCACTAAACACGCATATCATCATCACCAAACTACTAAAAAACAAGTAAGAAGGCTCTAGTCGAGACTGCTCGACTAGGAGATACCCTGAACCCTCCAAGCTGATATTCTAATCATTCTGCACTTCTTTTCGACACACATACATACACACGCACGTATTAGAACGCGCAGAACTGCGCAGTAAACAGCGACTGCGCTTGGGCTGCACTGCAGTGTGGGTAATATTATGAGAATTTATTTGTTGAATAATTTAATTTCTTGACGTACAATCTTAATGAAACATTCAGGGCGTAATCATATGGTAAAAATGTATGTACATTCCAAAGCACACGTCTCTAGTACTTGAAATACACCTTTTACAAAGGTGAGGGTGAAGGGGTGGATATAGCGGTGGGGGGTAAATTACAACAAAAATCGAAATTATATAAAATACATATAAGTCTACATTAAAACTTTGGAAGCTATAGCTCCAAAGGTGTAGGAGATATAATTAAATAACTAGCTTTCGATAAGGTTTTATATATATATATACACGGACCTAGGAAAAAAAAATTCAAGTCTCTAGCTCTTATATATATATATATAGACGCGCTCATACATACGGACGGACGGACGGACAGACAGATATATATATATATATCGACTCAGCTCGTCGCCCTGGTCAAGAATATATATACTTTATATATATATATACGCCCTCTTCTGCCTGTCACATACTTTTAACAAAACCATTATACCCTGATTTCCCATTGAAAATGGGTTCAGGGTATAAAAAAGCAAGCTAACGTTTAGTATTATTTACACATGCTCAAGTCCCACTCCAGTTTACTATCCTCACTTATTGTAATCACTAAACACACAATTCTGTGTTCACTAAAACGTTGTTTTAAGGTGCGGAAGGAATTATGACTTCATGAAAGACTTAAACAGAACACTTAGCTTGATAAACCTTCACTTTTATAACATCATTGACACATACAGAAAGTGTTGTTGAAATCTACCCAAAAATTATACAGCTGTCTTTTAAATGAATTTATAAACACTTAATCAGGAAACTTTTTCAAATTTATTAATTTCTCCTTAAACTATCTCAAATGAAAATTTAGCTAAAATATGAGTCGATCGAATTCATACAATGTTACATTATATGGTCATCTTGAATAACCTAATGATCTTTATTCAAATTAATGTGGTAATACATTCTTTCATAATTACATTTCCTTACAAATTAATGATCATAATGTAGGTATGGTATATACATAATGTATGTACTATTTCATCTATATATAACTTATCATTTATGTATTTGTATTCATATATTTCCTTATATATACAGTAGCCAAGAAAAGTTACAAAACACATGAAATTAAATCTAAATAAATAATAAAATACGCATAAATTAAAATATATAAAATCGAAATATAATGTGAGCTTAATATTCAATCCAAGTAATTATTCATAATAGTAAATGTTAAATTGCGCATTTCGTGGAAATTTCTACTGTAAATTGCGATGGTTACAGTAAAAGTAGATATTTCTAAAGACAAAATTATGTGTAATCTAGAAAGAGATATACATATATAATATATTGAATAGCTCAACATAGTTTCTATACATTTAATAGAACCTATATCATATAATATAAACATCCAATTTTCAAAATTATATTAATATCCTAGAAGTTATATGTTTGATGTTGCAATTTGACTACAAGTTGATGGATAGGCATTAGAAGTAGACATTTAAGAAAATTCATTTTATATCTTTGCTTATCAAACTTAATACGATATATATCACATGTTCTAAAGTACTAGGTTCTTTATTGAACCGAATGAAAAGGGCATCTCATTAGCAAAATATATTAAAGTAAGAATATCCTAAAATTAAGTTCCATGATGGGCAGTTATGTAAGAATAAAAAATCTTAGTGTGACAAAATAAGAAGTTTTGTCAAGTTCTTAACTTTTAGTAAAAATATAGTTGGAATTTTAAGCCCTTGAAGAAAACGGTAACTGTAATTCCAATATAGTTATACATATGGAGCCCACATATACAAATGGATCCTAGCATTAATGTACTATAAAATATAGTTAGAATAGAATTCATTTTTGTCGTAATAAATTTTGCAGACTTTCAATTTTAAACAATTTTTTTTTTTACAATTCAGTCATGTCATTTGCCGATGTAATGCATACTATTATATGTTATAATTAATACGAATCAAAATCATCAATACGATGAGTGTAATTAAATTTGTAGATGTACGTGTTACATCGCAATATACTAATTAACCTAATAATAACTACATGAGAGTCCTGGATATATCTTAAAGAGATACATTTATTTTATATCTACATACGTGCTTTTTCTTATTTAACTTAGTATGTTCTCGTAATGCTAAGTTATCAATCTGTATTATATCTGTTATTAATCTGTTAATGCAACCCAATAGACCATAAAACGGTACTAATCAGATCATTTTGCGAATTAAATTACGGAATTTGATTAAAATATTGTAAAATAATATACTATAAGTTTTGAGAATTTTGTTTGTCTTTTTTGTTATCGTTGAGTTATCAAGCATATCAAATGTATGTATATATATGTATGTAAATAACTTAAAAGTACATTCTAATTACATTATGTGACATACTTTGCTGCTCTAGTTGGCACTTGATAGAATATGTTTATGTGGTATGTAGGCTTTCAATGACCCAATTCATTGTTCACTTAAATTGAAATTGAGATTCTCGAAATGATAAAGATCAGGTTAGCAACATCATAAATCACATAATAAAATACACATTCTTGTCAGCAGTTTGATGTATCCTCGCCATCTAGTGTATAGG